AGATGAACACTGCTGTAGGTCAGCCTTTTCGAATCAGTTCGAACACCCTAATAATGAATCGTTTTCGGTCTTAAAATCCAACAGCACAAATAACTTGGAAGTATAACTAACTGGTGCCGTGCCCCTTTCACATAAATCATTGCGAGCAACGATGCAGACTCCACCTGAATGCACTTCATAACCTGAACCATGACCAGTTCTGTTTGGAACCACCCCATCAAAATCTCAATAGCCGAAGAATTAATCTTTTGATACTTCTGTAGAAGTATTTGACGGATCTTTGAATTTTAGTGTGTATTGTCAGTGCTTCACTAAAGGGAGTACGGTGAAGCTGTTTGGCCTATTATGAGAAATATGCAGCGATGAATACCAAATTGTTCACCTTGATTTGAACGTGAGCTAGTCTGACTTGCTAAATAATTGAGTTACCTCGAACTCATTGAGTTGAAGACAGAGAGAGTATCTTCTCGGTAAAGCAATATCAGAGATGATTTTGGGAATCCGAACAACGTTACAATTTTTTGAGTTGTCGTTAAATATGCGTCTTTCTACCAACTAGACCGATGAAAATCTTGAAAAATTGGTCGCTGTTCTCAAGAGGCAGAAGGACAGTGGAAAAATGATGTGATGTTAGTCCTGAATTTTCCATGATTGATCTCGGATACGATCTTCTTCTCTGAACAAAAACAGTATATTCAACTGTGATCCCATCTCTGACTCTGAGGTACGATTCCGAAAACAAGCCAAGGGTGTAAGACCGTAAATAGTGCTGGAAACTGCGCATTTCATGAAAAAGCTTGACCGTATCTCATTGAATCTTCTCCAACTTAGGCAGTTCAACCACCGTGCATGAGGACACGGCAACTTCTACGTTCTCGAATCGCAGATGCACAGGCAAACTGCATAGAACCCTGAATTCTGCTGCGAATAATTGTTCATTAGATCTTTTGATTGCTCCCCAGACACAACCCGCAAGCAGAGGAGCATACCTGATCTTCTCTGTTACTCAGGATTTATCGGATATTCTAAGGCACTGATCTCTGGCTATTCTTCTGAGGAAAATTTCCACAGGGCTGAAGTTGGCATCAGGATACGTTTGGCACAGGTGCATGTATGCAGGCGTTTATGAATAATTTGTAGAACACGGTCTATGGTGACTAGAGATCCAGATCTATTTCACCTGTCCGTCGAGTTTGGCAATTTACTTGCAAACGTTTCGTCACCAGCCGACGTGCTTAGGAAGTGGCCACCTCACAAGCACTGGCGATATCACTTCGGCTGGTGCCGGGACGTTTGCAACCAAATTACCAGGCTCGGGGCGAACAGGCGAAATGGAATTCAGTTCATCCGATAAATTTTGCATATTTTGATCCCTATCTGCCTGAAGTGCCGTTCCATCTTCATCTTTATAACCGACCCGTCACAGTTTGAGATCAAGTGCATAAGTGAAACAGGTCAGTCAGCACGTTGAGCTCAGCTCACTGATGTATGTAAGGAACCGGGACGATAAACCTTGGGGCATTTCATTGGTGTTGAAGTGCTATAACAGTGAAAGTTTAAGTAACTCTCACAAATAAGGATACTTTTTTGAGAAAGTTCTCCAACCAGCCAAAGAATGAAGCCGCAACATCCATCTATAAAAGTCATCTGCGTAGCGCTTTATTAAAGGCTTTGTAGAAGTTTGCAAAACACGACGTCAAAGTTTTACCTGTTGGTTTTGGTTTCAGTATAAGATGAGATTAGAAATGCATGATTGTTTTGCCTGAAAATCGTTTTACGAATTATTATTATCATTGTTTATTATTATTACTATGGACCATCTTACAGATAATTACGAAAAAGAGAAGTGATGGGACAATCCATAACATTGTACAACATGATGGTTACACACACCGATCTGAGGTAGTCTACGATCTTATGGGAACCAACTTTGAAAGCAGGCAAATAATGGTAGCCTTCCAATCGGAGGTTAGTGTATGGTATTCGTTAGGCAAATTATTTGTTGCTGTAGAGTTGAGACGACATCTACAGCAAGATGTTTAGCACAAGCAGATGCATGCCATCAAAGTCGAGGTGAATCATATGGACACAGCCGGGTCAAAGAAAGGAAGACCTCATACAAAATAAACTGCTCCAATCAACAGTCCGAAAGAGGGACGGGTGTCAGCAAATATCCGTCAGGTATTTCCCATTTGTACACACACGTAGAGTGATCCGCTAGCACCTACACCTTTTATTTGTCAGTTTCCAGGGTGACGTTACTTACATTCAGTGCACAGAAGCCAGGTGCCATTCTCATTTCACTGCTAAGATATCGCACCAGACTCCTCGAAGATTTGACTGGATTCATGACCATTGGTTCCTGTTACTTCAGTGGATAGGCATTTTTCAAATAAAGCTTTATGGTTAAATAGCCCATTCTGCACGTCCTATCCAACACAGATGAGGTGTAAATATGCTCGAGCTCCGTTTTGTGGTCTGAGAATCATGTTCAGCCTCTCGACAAAGCAAGAAGAACTTGAAGCTTGGAACCTGGGACGTCACAGTGAGGCGGATGTTTCGACCGAGCCAATTAGACTATTTCGGATAGTATTATAATCACATTCCACACATCAGGGTTGCGCTAAGAACTCAAAGAACGTGACAACTCATCCCCGACACATTTCATAGAAAGAAGTACGCACATATCAGGTCAAATATATTGGATTTGCGAGAACGACATACCGCTGAACGACGAACAGGAATTGTTCACTGTAGCCAAAAGGTTAGCAGAATTCAGCTTTCTCAACATTTGAGCAGCTGGGGAAAATATTCAAATCAGTTTATTTAAGTTTATACAACCATTAAACACGCACTTTCGTGTGCCGGTTTTTGGTTGCTGTCTTTTGGCTGCCCATTTGAATGAAAGTAAGAGAAGACAAGAAATTTGAAAGTAGAGTCGAATAGAAAATGGAGGATTTCGGTGGTCTAAAGTTGCACAGAGACTGATTAGATGCACGATCGCGACCGTTTACGACACTCAGTCATAGCACTCAGTGTCTCTAACCATCCATTACGATCATCCCAATGTCCTCAGTCAGGGGGCCTAACGGTACCTATTTGACCTAGTCTCCTGATCAGGGATTTCATTCCCCTATTCCAGGTCTCAGTTTGA